ACACGTATGCCGGTCCAGCCTGCCATAGTTCGCGTTCAGTCCGTCGATTCTTTTTCCGTTTTGGCAGCTGATGATTCCTCGTTTTTCCTCACAAATTATAACTGGCCGTGGCTTCACTGCAGCAAATAAGAGAAACGAAGAAAGGAAATGAGGGGTAAAGGAGATATTAAGTAAAGGTAAAGTCTGAATACGAGTCAAGTGGCCCCTCAGGCCGCAACTTATCCCGGTGTCCGTAGCATGAAGCAACTAGGAGTACTTCTACTCCCCCCTGGATGGGATGCTAGTCCATCGCAGGGATACCCCCAGCATTAAGTTCGCTGGTACCCATTGATACACCTGGGTGAAGAGAGGCACTGAGAGTAAAGTATCTTACCCAAGAACACAACGCAATGTCACCGGCCAGGGCCCGAACTTAGACCGCTTGATCCGGAGTCGAGCGCACTAACCATGAGGCCACCTCACCTCCCACAAGGAGACATTAACGAGGTTTTTATTGTTTTAAATCTCCGTAAGGTGGGTTATTGAATAAAAAACAAACACTTAAATCGCAGAACTTCTTATGAAGGTTTTTGAGATGGAGAGCATTCCTCGTCACCTTGCAGACAGCCATACAGCTCCACTCTCATTGATATGTGCAAGTGATAATCAACTGGTACAAAACGAATGTACTGAGATGTGATTGGTGGGTTGAGATTATGATAAACAATGCTGTCCTGGTCTGTATTTCCAGCAAAAACCTGAAAACAAGTAAAAAAGGAAGGTGAGAGAGCAGAAACCTCGCACATGATAGACGCCATTTCTTTTACCTGCTACCATCATTATTGACTGGAAGTGGGAATGAAGTATATGAACGTATCATCGAATCGTAAGACTTTTTACCTCATCTGTGTCTTGTCCTGGTTCCCTGTAGAACTGGAATTCCTCCTCTTCCTCACCGTACTGCAGTTTGTACTTAGTTACCCACTGTAAATAATGTAAGGAATCCCTTCCTTGGGTTGCTACTCGTGTCACTTTAGTGTACTGAGCTCCCAGATCAACCTGCAGCCACGGATTATCATCACTTGCACGAGCGGCCCAAGCCCCGGCTGCCTTGTCTGGAATTTCCTGAAAGTTTAGCCTTGCGTGTGAGGCAGCATGTAAAGAATCGGCTTCCGATGAGGCGGTAATCTGTGCATCAGTGATTGTTCGGTTTTCCATACCGAGAGCGTCTTGACATTCTGAGGGTTTTAAGAAAAAAAATTAAACCCTTAGGTCATCCGAGTAATTTTTTTCTTTTTTTTTTCTTTTCCTTCTTTTTGTTTCTTTTTTCTTTCTTTTTTTTTTTTTTTTTTTTTTTTTTGTAGTTTTATTTTTGTATACTTTTTTTCTCGACTTATTTTATTGATGGTTTGTTAACAGTATATTTAGCTTTTTGTAAAGTAACATTGTAATTGGAGCTAGTATTGTAATTAAATAAAGGAAAGAGTATCATAAGTATAACAGCATTGTTGTTTGTATTCGCGTTAGTATTGTAAAGTCCTGTAAATAATGTCAATGAATTTAACGTAAGAAAAAATATATTTTTCATGATCATATTTCACACGTTCGGAATCTGTTTTTTTCGAATAAACCGCGCTATCACGAATGTTCAAGATACTAAGCAGCTTAGTAGTTAACAAAATGTTAACAAAATGGCGGCCGCTTCTTTGCGTTTTTCGAGTGTCTGTGAAGGGGATTTAGACAATTTTCTAGTCCAGTTTTGAGCGACTTATCGATTTATACTAAAACAATTAGATTGTGCGTTCTCGATTTCTATGGGTAATAGTTGATGAGGGCGCAGCCCGAGTCTTTCATCTCGGTTAAGAGATTTGGAGACTCACAAAGCTCATGCTGTTGATAGTGAGAAGATTGAAGTATAATAAGAAGAATCGTTATTGCCACTGAGTAGGAATAAAACTGTACATCCTACTTTAAAACAAACATAATGTATTTACCGGCCAGTTTAATACCTTGATTTATGGCGGCCTTTATTTGGGCTTCATCTAGTGCAGCATCGTAAATTTTCATTTGAGCGATTTTTCCTTTGAAATATCTATCTCCCTTGACTCCCATCAAAGCTTTCGGGTCGTGTGTCGAATTCAAGGGGCCTGCATCAATATTTTGTGACTTGTTTAAAACTCCGTTAATGTACAGTGAGTTCTCTCCCGTGCTATGATTGTACGTTGCAGCAACATGGACCCACTCTCCTACCGCAAGAGACGCATCTGTATTTATTTCTTTATTATGGAGCTCGTGATAGAACTTGCCATTGAGGTTGATCCATATACCGACCCCATGCTCAGTTTGTCCGTAGTTAAACAGTGGTCCGTCTTGACCTCCAGGTTCAACCCAGCACATCAGCGTGATTGAGTGTGACTGGGGCACCTGAATTCCATTGTTCGGGAATTCGATGTAACTCGTATTTTTGCCAAAAAACTCATAAGCTCCTGTTGGTTCAGTGTAGGGTCCGACTGTAAGGCCCACAGCTCCTAGTATTCCGGAGGGCTGCTTGTTCTTTTTTTCTGCGGCTTTATACTCTCCATCAAGAGGGTAGAAGGCAAAAGGTTCTGGCAAAACTAAAAAAAAAAAGAGAATTAAGTTTTAACTGAGCAACTACAAAGTAAGAGCGCTTTTCACTTACGTGTAATTCGCGTTATTAAAAACTGGATCACTGGATGATAATAATAATGATGATAATGATGATGATGATGATGATGATGATGATAATAATAATAACAACAATAACAATAATAATAATAGTAATAATAATAATAACTAGGGTATCTAAAAGATAGTAATGCTGCGGCACATTCTGTTGATAGTGACATATTTTACGCAGTGACTCATCTACAACTTCATGCATGATGACACATCGATGGCGAGGGATCGTGACAAAAAAGCACATAGTGATCTGAACTATGTTTGGACATAAAACGATACACATCAATCTTCCCTTTACCAGATGGCAAAAATCGAAAGATGTGGAAATTGTAGGAGCAAAAAGCTAACTTATAAATTTTGTACTGGTACGCATAAAATATCTCGATCCAGAATGTTGAAATTGACAGACTGTGTCGAGGATGCGTCCATCGCGATGTATAAAAATGTTAAAGCGTTAGTTTAAATTCGTGTTTGGATGAAAAGGAATAGATCGCAGCATATATAAAATTAGCTTGTTCTACGGTTTTCGTTTGGTTTAATTATTCTACAAGCTTTAGTAACGACAATTTCTCTTCATTTAAAAATTCGACCAAGGAGGCGAGATCGCCAAGAAATGACATACTAAGTTTAAAATTAAGGTGTCATAATTAATCGTCCAGATTTACAAACTTTCACATACTGTATTAAGAACAAAAGCAAAAGTTGTGAAAGTCAAGCACGATCTCCTTCACATCGTTTCACAGGCAAATCAGAAGAAAACATAAACCTTAATCTTTCTCACTGGAATCCACGCGAAAAAGGACGACGGCTCGACGGTGTGACAACCTCGTGTTGTTCGTGGCGCAATGCACTCTGTCAAAAAGTGGCGCAGTGCACTCTGGTTAAATGCAATGCATTCTGGTAAAAGTGATGAATTCGAGAATTCGAACTCCCTTCTATATATTCTTCATAAATCATGATGATGTTGCTGCTCGCTCGCTACGCTCGCTACGCAGCGATAATAATAGTAATAATAATCATCATCATAATCATAATCAACTTTATTTATTGAGGGTAGCACACAACAGTAATCACTGAAAAACCAGTGGCCCTCATAAAAACATTTACCGAATAAAAAGATGACGTGTTAAGAATTAAAAATATAGAAAGATTCTCAAATATGTAACGATAATATATAAAACTAAGATGTGAGACACATTAAAATATTAAAAAGCAAAGCATTGGATCAAGTCTAACAATTAAAACAAGAAAATTAAAAATTTAGATGATAAGATGGTCCAAATCCTCATAAGTCCATAAAATGTTTAAAGCTCGAAAGATTGGGTTGGTTTTTAATGTGGGCAGGCATCATATTCCAGAGGCGGCTAGTCGATAGTGCGAAAGACCTGAGAAAGATATTTCAACAATGCAATTCAAGAGTTTTCATTGGCTTAGCCATCATGGTGCATGAGTCCTTATACTATGCTCTACAAATATGGGAAGCGCACACGTGAGTTTTGGGCCTTTTTTATTTTCATTTTCATTTAGTTTTCTATATCTTGGAGACGTTTTTAATAAAATAATTACTCTACTCTCGCTTGTTGTTGTCAGTTTTCTATATTTTGAGGGCGTTTTTAATAAAACAATTATTCCCCTCGCGATTTTCGGATATGGGATGGGATAGACAACTCGGCGCCACGGGCCTCGTTGGCTATCTAAACATATATATATTTCATAGTTACCAATACAGCTTTTTCCACTCCCGTAAAATCCCTCTTTGCACGTGCACAGATAAAATCCCTGGGTGTTGTTACACACTGCATTATCATCACACTTGTCTGTTTTAATAGCACACTCGTCTATATCTAAAACATTAGAGGAATTTCATCAAATTAAGTTAACTTGAGAAGTTCCAGTCTGGTTGAAGTGTCAGTATTCCCTTTGCGAATCTTGGCATGCAATTTAACTGACTATGATATAACTAGTTCAACGAAGTCACTTTTAACTATAACCCGGAAGTGAATAATTGCTTGTACTCAGAGGCGTAGCCAGGATTTTTCAAAGGGGGGGTCACACTGTGTCAAAGTGAGGGTACTTACCAGATTGTCATGTCGTTTTCTGCACCTGTTGTAGGTTGTTTGCTAAGATAGGCTTACAAAAGGGGGGGCTCACGGGCACCTCAGGACCCCCCTAGTTACACCCCTGGTGCTTTTGTTTTGGTGTCCTCAATTGCTGCTTATTCTTGTAGGTAGGTGAAGTCTACACACGAGCCAAGTGGCCCATCAGGCCGGAGCTTATCCCGGTTTCCGTAGCATGAAGCAACTAGGGATATTTTTACTCCCCCCTGGATGGGATGCTAGTCTATCGCAGGGTACCTCCCAGCATTAAATTCGTCGGTACCCATTTATACACCTGGGTAGAGAGAGGCACTGCGAAAGTAAAGAGTCTTGCCCAAGGACACGATACAATGTCCCTGGCCAGGGTTTGAACCCGGACCGTTCGATCCGGAGGTGAGCGCACTAACCATGAGGCCATCGCTCATTCTTGTGCTTGTGCTTATTGTTATGATTATGATTACGAGCCAGAAAAAAAAAACACAGGCTTAAGTATTAATATAAAGAAAAATGCCAAAATCAACAGATTGATGTTCTTGTTGATACCAGTGCAGTAGTTTATTCCATCTCCAGAAAATCCATCTTTGCATGTGCAGTGATAGGATCCCTGGATGTTGTTACACACAGCATTAACATGACAGCTGTGTGTTCCTTTGGTGCACTCATCGATATCTAAGACAACAAAATATATTTCATTGGAATTTGGTTCCTTTAAAGTCGTCTGACAGAGATATAAAAGGTTCGCATTTATGTTATAATGCATCTCGCCTGTTATATAGAGAATACTACATAGCCCCACAAAGATACGAAAATTCTCTCACAGTGTTCAACATGAGACTGAGAAAAATTTCGTATCTCCAAGCGACCATGTAATTTTCTTTTTATGATCAAAATCCCCATAATACATAAGCATACTAAGAACGACGTTTTCGAAGATTTTTCGAAGATTTACGACCACTTTCCGAAGATTTGCGAAGACTCTCCAAAAGTCGTCGGAAGGCCACATGAACGTTTCCGAACATTTTCGAAAATTTCTCAAGATTACCGAAGACTGCCGAAGATAGCCTAAGACTTCCGAGGAAGATCCGAAGACGTTTCGATCATACACCAACAGAGGTAAGCACAGTTAAAGAGTCAAAAATGGTATCTAAAATGATCTCGCACGTGTGTGGATAAAAATGATATCTTTACATGCGAACTAGCGATATTAGCGATTTGCTACCACTCGGTATACCACTAAATTTTGAATAATAAATATTCGTATTCCATTGTTAGGTATTAAAAGGAAAAAGTGTACAAAATCATTTTTAATCTTTGCATAGTCATCAGTGCAAATTTTTCCATCTCCATGAAATCCCTCTTGGCACGTGCACGTGTAGGACCCTGCTGGGATGTTCTCACAGTTGGCATTTTCATCACAGTTTTGTTCCTTCATAGTACACTCGTCCACATCTAACGGAAGAAAATAATATTTCACGAAAATATGGTTCAACAACAACCACATTTCCATCCCTGCCTTAACTTCCCCCAGCCCTCACCCCATCTCCTCCCGGTTTAAGCATCCTAAACTCTTTTTACTAAATTGCGTAAGAGTGTTTCCTACCGTTTTCACAATCATGGCCAGTAAATCCAGGAATACACAAACATTGGTAATCTCTGTCTGTAAAAGCGGCCTGGCAGGTTGCTTTGTTCTGGCAAGGTTTCTTCGCACAAGCATTCTTCAAGGAAAGAACAAAAAGGTGGTGAAACTGTCACATATCATCGACTAATAAGCACATTATGACTGGTCGCGCGGGGAAACAGTGAGTTTTGTTTCCCCAAGACCCTCATTGTTCCTCGAGGCGAAGTCTCGGGGAACAATGAGGTCGACTGTTTCCCCCGCGACCAGTCGTTTAGTGTTTTGTTATACGTTCTAACTCAAAAATAGAAAAAACTGCGAAGAAATCATTTGGTTGACGCCGGCTGGCTCACAAATTTGCCGCGGTTACAAGGGGCACGACCTGATCACGCGCGAGTCGGAAGTTCAAGTTGTCGTTTCCCTGGGGAGTTAGTGATTTTTGTTCGAACTAGGGAGTTGGTGAGTTTTGACCCACAACATGTGACACGTACTCTTCCAATCGGAAAACGTATTTTAGTTGGGTGGTATATATAACAATGACATTTGAACACCGATAAACTCAGAACCTTTAATTTCTATGTGTGTCTATGATATTTACTGTGGAAAGTTTTGCGTAGTACTAGAGTAGGTTTTAAGCCGAGCGTTTGTGGCAGTGTAGTAAGCTTTGATAATTGGAAATCAATTATATAATAGAAACATAAGCAAACGCCAGTTAATCATTTCAAGATCGAGTGGTGGCGGATTTGCAAGTACAAGTTGTACCCTTGTCCCCAGGCTCTTACTCGGATTCAAATCAAGATGACTGACTGGCA